TGGCAGGCGCACATCCACGCTGTAGCTGGTGGGCAACCCTAGTCTCCCACGAGTAGTGAGTATGGGGGACACCTGGATGCCCCCTCTCCTCCCACACCCCACTGCAACCAGCAAGCCGGGCCATCATCCTTCAGAAAGCACACTGCAAGCCCCTCTCCCAGGAAGGCGCTACGTGTGCTCAGTCCTGGTCCAGGAGGTGAGAGGAGGGCTCTGGTGGGCACACCTGGGCTAAGGAGCAGTTCACAGGGAACTCGGTAGGCTGGGCGGGCAGGGGCTCAGGGGAGAGGTGATGGAAGGCAGACGTGGCAGAAGCTTTCTCAAGCGGCGGGAGGACAGGGAATGCCTCCCGCTGGGCCTTGCTTCCCCGGCCCACCTGAGCTTGTCCTAGTCCCGAGCATTTGGTAAGGGATAGTCAGGGTGGCAGCTGCTGAAAAGATTCAGCCAGTCCTGCTGAGCTGTGAGAGACCAGCTAGAGTCCCTCCACCTATCTACCCATCAACCTGTCCCTGGAATCATGGGCTGAGGATATTAGAACACTGGCGCTTGGCAAATAAAGGCAGATGTTGAGGCCCAGCCTCCTGGACTGCCTGCTTTGCCTGTGGCTGGGCTGGGCCTGGGCCTTGCTCCCGCTCCTGCTGCCCAGGCACAGGCTTTCTCTCTGCCTCCAGGACCCTTAGCATTGTCACCGGGCAGGGCTGGCCAGGAAGGCTTCATCCTAGCCTGAGGATCCACAAGGGGGATCCTCATCTAGCATCCTGGAGCACACCCATATCTGGCTGGCCTCTTACTGAGGACTCGCAGGCCCTAGAATGGGTGTGGGGCAGAGGGCTGCCAGACAGAGTAAGGTCCTGGGCAGTGGGTATCCTGAGGCTGGCAGAGGACCTGAGCCAATCCCTAAGAGTTGGTGGGATCTTGGACCCCTGTCCCCAGCCCCTAGCCTGTCAGAGCCTTCTTAGGGTTACCTGGTTGAAGCCCTGGAAGGCTATTGTTTGCTTCCAGGCCTGCCTGGTGCCTTCTGGCTACCCCAGGCCCCTGCATGCAGTGCCTTGGGTGGGCCCAGGCCGGGGGTCCATGGAGAGATGTCCTCACTCAGTGTCCATGTCTGTGGGCATTTGTCAAGGCACCTGGCTGCTGTGGGTGCTAAAGGAATCGGAAAGGGCTGATGTGGCTGTGACCACAATGAAGGTTGATCACATGGGTCCAGAGATAGGTAGTGTCCCTCCAACTGGAGGATCAGAGGCTTCCTGGAAAAAAAGGTCAGTGTGTTTGACCTTCAGGCATAGGGGAGGCTGGACAGACAGTAGAAGGTGAAGAGGTGCCAACAAGAAGAAGGGGTGTCCTGGACCCTGAGTTAATCATTGTGGTTAGAATGGACAGAATGCAGAGGGTGCCATGGCAGTACTGGTCCAGATCTAGAATCACAGGCCATGGGATTTTGAATGTATTCTCAGGCAAAGTAGAACTAGCGAAGTCTGCAGGGCATATCCAAAGTCTGAGGCTTTGGTAAACAGCATTCCTACCCAGGGCAGACCTCTGTAGCACCTGACGAGGCGTTCTTCGCATAGACCACAATGTCAACATGGGCCCTGGAGTTGCAGTGTAGCTCTGAGGCAAAGTGACATGGCCAGGGCTCCCCTGAGCAATCAAGAGTCACCAGGCTGCAAGGGGGAACGTAGATTAGGTGGGTGGCAGCATGAACAATTTCAAGACTAACCACCTGACTGGGATTCTGCCACCATCCAATCAACAGAGATCTTCATACTCCACCACTGTAACTAACACAAGAAGCATCATCACCCCACTAACGACAACCACCCCTTTCAGCACCATCAATGGCAGTCACAATGCCCCCACCATCACAGTTTCAACCTGAGCCCAGTGACCACAACCCCAAGCCCCAGCACCATAACCAATACCATCTCCATCCTTTCCAAACATACTATTGTCATCAATAACAGCATCAACCAAACCCCATCATTCCCACAACTGAGGGCCACTGCAACAGAGCGGGGTGCAGGGTCTGCATGCTCTGCCTTGATGCTGAGCAGGTTGAGATGGAGAGAGGACTATAATCAGGCTGTTTCTCCTTCTGGCCACACCCTCCCCCCACGTAGCCATGAGCATTTGAATCTGGTTTGGTTTGGTTTTTGCTTAGATGTTTAAACTGCATTATGACCACAGCAGAAAGCAGCTGTAGAATCTGAGACCAGGGTGGGGTCATCTCACAGGCATTGTCTTTAGGACTGAAGCCACAGCCAAGTAAGTTCTCTGCAGTGCTTGCTCTCTAATGCTCCCTTTTTTGGGTTTCTGGAAACTCATGGAACTTTAGGCAGGAACTCACCTGGAACAACCCAGGATCCTTCAGGATGCCCTTCGATGCCTCCTCTGCCTTCCCTAGGCCTTTGCTGCTTGGTGTTTGCAGACAGTGGCCCTAGAGAGAATGCCACTCCGCAAGAACCCCAAGCAGCAGGCTCACGTGCATGCCTGTGTGACCTGGTAGTCATCTTTGTCCTGGCCCTGTGGTCGGTGAGGAATTTCTCTAGGGCCACATCCAGCTCCAACTTCAACCCCTGGAGTTCAGGGTTCATTTGGAGCCATGGCTGGGAGAGCAGCAGCTAAGCTGGCCTGACAGTGAATTGGAGCAAAGGAGACAGACAAAGCCAACTTCCCATTCATCCTTCAAAATACCATCCCCAGCCTGGAAATTTCCATCTCTTGTCCCGTGCAGTGTCCTCACTTCCCAGCAGCCCACTGGAAGTGTGGGATGGGCCAGGGAGAAGGAGACGAAGGAGGCCAGTGTCAGCCTGGGCCTTCCCAGGCCATACCTGCCCATACTGAGCGGAGGGTCTTAGCAGCTGGCTCAACCGTATGGCTTCAGGGCCTGCAGCTGCTTCTCTGACATGGCCACACCACAGGCATGGCATCCAGAAGCAAGGTTCTTTCACAGAGGGTGGGAAATTGCTCTCATGGAAGGGCCAGGGCCAGGCACTGCTGCTGGCCGGTGAGCTGAGCTGCCCAAGGCCTCCTCTCAGAGCACCAAGCAGGGGGAGGCCTGGGCAGGACTCAGCCACTGCGCTTGCCCATCTGGATGCATCTCCCCCAGGCATGGAGAAGAATGGCATGCCCTCCCGTGAGGCGGTCAACCCTCAACCTTGCTGCTTCTCCAGCTCTCTTCTTCCCTGACCCTCTCACGTGATTTCATGCCTTTTTCTACCACACACCTCACTGGATGGAAGAGAGGATTCGGTGAGGCTTTGGTAAACAGCATTCCTACCCAGGGCAGACCTCTGTAGCACCTGCTACTCCAAGCACAGTCCCGGAGCAGCAGCAGCAGCAGCACCCAGGAGCTTGTTAGAAATGTAGATTCTCAGCCCTGCCCCAAACCTATTCAAGCAGAAGCTGTAGTTTAAGATCCCCACGTGATTCATGTACACATCAAAGTTTTGGATGTGTGCAGTGATGAAGGCTCAAGCCCTTCTCTGTCACTTGGCAGCTGTGTGACATTTCAGCAGAGATGCACCCTCTCTGGACCTCAGATTCCTCATCAGTACAATGAGGTTCATGATCCCAATCACCTAGACAGGCTGAAAGGCTAAAATGGAATAATGGGGTCATGCTTATACTATGGTAAACACTCAATGGAGAGAAGTATTGTTAAGTCTAATTATTTCTGATAAGAATAGTGCCTATTATTGGAGAAAGATTCTACTTGGCTGATCACAAAAAGAGGTTTATTTCTTCCTCCATGAGGTACTGGCTAAGGCTTCAAATCGAAACGACCCTAAATCAGATTCTGCTGTTCCTAGTGATAAGTTCTAGGACCCTGAGCAATTGAAATCTGTTTCCATTTCCTTTTCTACTAAGTAGAGTCCATGATACCCACATCAGAGGGCTGCTGTGAGGCATTAAAGACATGATGCCTGACGCGCAGCATGGGAGGAGGAGTTATCCCCACTTACAGGATTCACATTTGTCCTTTTGCTGTTGTTGCAAATGCAAATATAAGTCAAAGAACAAAGAATGAGTGAAGAATGTGCATTTCTTTGCTTTCCTGTAATTTGATTTTTATTCTCTGCCCCATTTCACAAGTAGCCAAAATCTAATCCCATCAACCCAGGCTCTGACTGTTCTTGTCTTCCTGGTGTGGTCCTGGGAGGAGGCACTTGCAGAATGCCAAGGCGTTCGGGTGGGGGCACGTGGGCGCCTGGTCATTGGTCATGGTCTATCTGTACTGGCATCTGCTGGGATTGCCCCATCCCAACTGGTCATGCAGTTCCACGCTAGCAGAGTAGTCACCCCTCTTGTTCTCAGTGACAAGGCCTTTCCGATCTGCAGGGCTCAGAGCCATAGTCCATGCCACTCTTGAGTGTGTGTGAGCCCCTCTGTGGCACCTGGGCCACACAGAGCCATGGGAGTCTTTGGCCTGCCTGGGCTCTGCCTGGGCCCTCGCCATGGGCATGGGGAATCCTGGGCTGCAGCTGCTTTGCCAAGGTTTACCCCCCAAACCCCAGGGCACAGGGGTCTCTATTCTTACATTCCCACACCACATTGCCTGACTTTGATCTGCCTGGCGTAGTAGCGTTCATCCACCGGTACTGTCAGTGCCCTGAGTTCGGTGGAGCCCAAAGCCCAGCTTCTCCACGGCTCTGGCTGAGGAAGGACGAAAGGGAAACAGGATGGGGGTGGAACCTGACTTGATAATTCTATCCACTTTTCCACTACACTGTGTTTTGCTGAAAAGTAAAATTAGGAAGCACAGAAAAACTGGGTGGGGGGGATCCTGAAAAATTCTCCAGGATTGAGAGTGTTTCTGATGTTGCTGTGACCTCCCCACGGTCTGAGCATTTGCTCCTGGGATTCTGGCGAAGCTCCTTCCGGAGCCTGGCGACAGGCTCTCCCAAGGCTCCGGCGCTGTTTGCATCACGGGCGGCCTCTGCCCCCCGCGCAGAGGGCCCCACAGAGCCCCCTGACCTGTTGTCTCTTTCGGTCCGCTTCATCAGCACCCCTATTGAGCATGCTCCAGTGTGCACCAGCCAGGCCGCCACCCCGCTGCCACCCGCTTCTGCCCAGCTGCCTGCTGCTGCCTCTCCCAGCGCGGCCTCGCCACCCCATGCTGCCACCGCCACGGCCCCTGCCTCGAGCCCTGCAGACGGTCCAAGGTAACTGGCCCCAGGTGCCAGCCCTAACCTTAGGGAAGGGAGGCAGGAAAGGCGCCACCGTGGGTCCATCTGTGTCCGAGGTGGGCAGGACCTGGGGCCTGCTTGGTGCAGAGTATAAAGAGGAAGCTGGGGTGCATTTCAGCGGAGTCCACCGCCCTTGGCTGGACTCGTACTGTAGTGAGAGATGTAAAGTCTCTGTCTCTCTCTTTCCTCTCTCTCTCTCTCACACACACACACACAGATAACAAAGGAAGACTGTGTGGAAAGTCCTTGCTCCTGGAGCTAGGATCAGGAAAATGAAAGTCATGCATGTGGGCTGGGGAAATCAAGGAAGGCTCCATGGAGGAGGGAGCTTTGGCCAGCTGGACTTCCACCACTAACTCGCGTGCACACCCCTGCCCTCTCTTCTCTTGATAGAGAAGCCGGTTAACTTCAGATGCCCCTGGGGTGGTGGGAGGTAAATCTCTGCTCCACAGTTTTCTGTCTGTAACCTTGAGACAGTGGCTTCACCTTTCCAAAGCTCAGTTTCTGCATCTGATAAGATGTTTAACAAGCATCTATTTCATAGGGTCGTGATAGAAAAAAAACACCTAGCACATATAAAGGACACAGTACTGGGACTTCCTTCATCCCAACATGCCCTCCTGGCTGCCAGAAAGGCAGAGACCGAAGGCCAGGGAGGCCAGGGAAGGCAGAGAGGGCAGGCCGGACAGGCCAGTCTGGAGCAGCCAGGTTGCACAACAGCTGGGTGGGCCCAGCTCTCTGTGTGGGCTACCTGCAGCTGTCCAGTTGGTGTTTGGGGTCACATCCTGGCTTTCCCAGCTTCCACACTGCCTCCTAAGGTTCTACAGGGCAGAACATGCCTCTCAGGGTCAGGGTGCATAGGTCGTGGTGCAGGCTGAGGAGGGACTGACATAGGCATGGTGGCCCGCAGGCCTGTGAGCTGCCCCTACCCCAGCCTTCACATGGCCCACACGGTGCCTTTCCCCACTTTCCCCAGCCCAGCCTCAAGGAGAGCCTGGACCTGGGCCTCCAGGGGTGGTTTTTATCCCCGTGTCCTGGGGGGGGGTTGGCAGGCTACTTGCCTTCTCCTTGCCAGTCTCTTCTCATAAGGGCCTTGCTGCCTCACCAAGAACAAACTTTGAGGAGGGCAAGAAATATCCCTGTTGTTGCACAGGAAGGAGCCTCCTAATTCGCGTGGGGGAGCTCTAGGTGCTGGAGCCATCTGGGCAGTCTAGCCTCATCCGGAGGCCTCAACCCTGCAGCGCTCCTGGAGCCCTCTGGATGCCCTCAGCAGGGGCAGTCCTCCTTCTCTGCCTTGCCAGGGAGCTAGGGCCTGGGCAAAACTTGGAGAGGGGCCCAAAGAGCTGCCCAGCAGGGAATGAGGCTAGAACAGAGGGGTCAGAGGGTCACATTCTGAGCCAAGCTGCCTCTCCTCCTTACACACAGGCCAGGGGGGCTGGGCTAGAGGGAACCCATGAGAATGGACCCCCCAGCCTTTCTTGGGAGCATGGCTTAGAATTCTCACTGGATATCCTAAGCCTCTGCTTCCTCTCCCAACCTCACTCCCTGACACAGGACTCGTGGCTCCCAGGATGCTGGCAAAGCATCCTCACTGCGGGGGAGTCCAGCTGAGACCCACTGACCCTTGGCCCTCTCCTACCACAGTGGAAGCCAGGCACCCCACGGACATGCTCTTCCTCCTCCATGGAGGCTCCTGCTCTGCGGCCCTGTCCAGAGAAGGGCAGGTGGGCCTGGGGAGGGGAGACAATGTCCTTACTCAGCCAGAAGCTTGGCAGCTTGACAGGGCAAGCCTGCACAGTCCCCAGGTGTGGAACACTGGCTCCCCAAGGCTTGTTTTATCTCTGCCTTCTCTGGGTCGGGGGGGCTCTGTAGGCCCCTCTAGATCCACTCAGGAGTTTGCTGGTAAGTTCTATCCCAGGACCACCTCCCTCTCCGAGGCCCAGAGAGGAAGGCACTCCCACACCCCACAACTGTGCCCAGCAGAGATGAGCAGGCCTTGGGTCCAGGGAGGACAGGCAGAGGGAAGGCAGGAAGCCATGGGGTGGGTGGGGGTGGCAGGCTGTGTGCCTCCAGGAGCTCACTCCTTCAGCAGCCCTGTCAGTGACCCACTTGCCCTGCGTGTGGTCACACGGTCCCCTTTTGGGTCTGAAAGATGCAGGGCCACGCAGGGAGGAACCAGGGATGTGTTCTGTAAGGTGTTCATTAGTTTTAAATGAAGAAGAGTTTCAGAAACAAACTGGGAAATACAGAATCAGACAAGGTTACACCAGCTGCTGAGCTCCAGGAGCTCTGGGGCCGTCAGCTCTCCAGGAGGCCAGCATCTCCCGAGAGCAGTGAACTCAGACGCCTTCCATCTCTTTGGCCCCATGGCCCCTGGGCCACACGGGGCACAGGCAACTCTAACCCAGTCAGAGGAGGGGGCAATAAGGACTCTGTGAAGATGGGGGGTGTGGGGGGAGCTCTTGGAGCCTTCTGGCTTCTCATGAGCTCCCCACAAGCGTTCTTGCCCAGAACCCAAGTCTTTGCTGCTACCCTCTAGCAAGAATAGAAAGGTAAGCAGAGGAGGCCGGGTGGTCTGAGGCTGCGAGGGGCCCTGCAAGGCTGAGGGGATGGGGCAGCTCTGACCACCACCGTCTCTGCTCTCTCCTGCCTCTGCTGCCTTCCACGGCCCACCCCAGCAGTCTCCACGGAGTGAAGGCTTTGCCCTGTATCCTCTTGTCTGGCTGGTGGCTTTCTTCCCTCTCTCTAAAGGCAATGCCATTAGCCACCCCAAAAATAGCTTCCTCCCCTCTAAAACTCCCATAGTTTTTCCTTCATAGCCTCTGGCAGCTCCCCAGCGACATCTCTGTCAGGTGTCCTCTTCACGAAGGCTCCCAGAGGTCAGGAAGCCAGCCTGCTGTGGCTGCAGGCCCCAGGATCCAGCTGGGGCTGCCCTTCTTGCTATAACTCTTCCCCCCTTGGTTCCAGGCCCCAGGCCTCTTCCTACAGCCCTGCAGCAGCCAGCTCTCCAGCACCCGCCGCCCATACCAGCTCCAGCGAGGGCCCCGCTGCCCCTGCAGCCAAGCCCCGGGTTGTCACCACTGCCAGCATCCGGCCTTCTGTCTACCAGCCAGGTGAGAGGCAGAGAGGAAGGGGAGGGTGTCTAAGCTGTGCACGGGCTCCAGGAGTTGGAAGAACAAAGGGTCGGCTCCAAAGCCACAGAAGGATGGTGGCCAGCAAGGCCCTGCTAATGAGGCTCAGCCCTCCCAACCCCAGTTGTGGGCCAGGATCCTGCGGAGCCTACTTTTGGCCTTGAGGAGACAGGCGGGCAGTATCTCGTAAGGATAGAGCTCCCAGCTCTTAGGAAGAGGCTGCTCCTGGCTGGAGATTTCTAGCTCAAGGAGAGGGAAGAGAGGGTTTGGTGGGGAGCTGTTCCTCCATGAGTCTGGGTCTGGCTCAAGCTGCAATCACAGGCAGCCATAACAGAAATGCTGTGGGCTTTGGACAGACTCGCTGCATCACAGTGTGACCCAGGGCAAGCTGTTCAACCTGTCTGGTCTTTTGTTTCCTCAGCCAAGACAGGATAACAGGAGGTACGGGGAATACATGAAGAGGGACAGGGGGCAGCTCAGGGGTAGCCTGAGGCAGCACTCGCTGGTTGTCTGTTCCATCTGTCTGGACCCCATTCTCATCAGTGCCCGGGGTCCCCTTGCAGGGATGAGGGCTCAGCCCCATGGCCCCTGCTCTCCTAGGCAAAGTTGGGCCTGCTCCCCAAAGCCTGAGGGTAACTCCTCCCCTGCCAGTCATTGCTCAAAGAACCTAAGGGCTCTCCAGCAGGTGTTTTCCCAGGCTGGGGGAAGGTCCCATGTGCCCTAGCATATAGGATGTGCCACAAGAGGGCTCTCAGCATACAGGCCCTGAGTCTGGTCACCATCGCCTCCTTCCCACTGGATTCTGACTCTGAACTCCAGGAAGTCAGGGCTGTGGTGGATTTTCTCCACTGTGTGTACCTGACCCATGCCTGGAACAAACAAGATGGTCAGCAAAGGCATAGGGAATGAAGGAACAAATGAATGCACAGATGCTGGGGAGGAAGGCATAGTCAGGTGGGGGACATGGGGACAGGAGAGGCTGTGAGCAGTGCATTCTGTCCTCTGGCAGCTGGATACACAGGAGCAATGAGTCAGGAGTTCCCAGAGGGATTTTCTGGTGCCCATTACACAAATGGGTGAGATAGGGTTTTTGCTGGGCACACACTCTGCATTCAAAGCATTATAGTTTCAACACATTTAACAGCCATCTTGGATTTATGGAAAGCAATAACGATTTTCCATTTACAGTACTGATACAAACATTTCTTTCCCCTCAAGATTATTATACATGTACAATTTTTTTTTTTTTTTTGAGATAAAGTCTCACTCTGTTGCCCAGGCTAGAGTGCCGTGGTGTCAGCCTAGCTCACAGCAACCTCAAACTCCCGGGCTCAAGCAATCCTCCTACCTCAGCCTCCCAAGTAGCTGGGACTACAGACATGCGCCACCATGCCCAGCTAACATATATATATATATATATATATATATATATTTAAGTTGGCCAATTAATTTCTTCCTATTTTTAGTAGAGACGGGGTCTCGCTCTCGCTGGTCTGGAACTCCTGACCTTGAGCGATCCCCCCCACCTTCCTCGCTCTCCCAGAGTGCTAGGATTACAGGCGTGAGCCACCGCGGCCCGGCCTACATGTACAATTTTTAATAGCCCTTTAAAAAGAGCAGTTGTAGGTCCACAGCGACATCAAGGAGAAGGTACAGAGGTCTCCCCCGTACCCCTTGCCCCACGCAGGCACAGCCCCCTTATCACCGTCTCCACCTGACACCCTCACGTTTTTACCATGCTAGGATCCAGGAAGAGAGGACATCGACAGCTCCTCTGGGAAAGAATGAGGTAGATAAATCTACGGGAGCGGGAGGGGGACAGGGAAGACCTTTTGTGTCCTGCAGAAGCGTGAGGGTACAGGACAGCACGTACAAAGGCTCGGAGCATGCCCTGTTAAGGGCACGAGGAGAGACCGGGCGGATTTCTCTGTGGCCGGACGCAGGGAGATGAGACAGGCACGGAGTCAGGAAGGGCCCCGCGCAGGGGAGCTGGGCTGGTGTCGGGAGGCACGGGATCAGCCCGGTTTGCGAGCTCGCTCCGGCGGCAGCCTGGCGTGGGCGGCCTGAGGGCCTGCCGAGCGACCTGCGCGCGCTGTAGACCGCGAAGGGCCGCGTCTCTCCGGGCCAAATCTCCTCATTTGAAAACGAGGATTGTGCGATGTACGCCTCGGTGTCTGGCACACAGGAGGGGCCCTTCTCCGTCCCTACAGGGGCCGGGACGGAAAGTTCTGAGGTTAAAACTACACAGGATGAGGCGGCATTTGGGAGGGGGCTGCAGTGGTGAAGAAAAATCTCGAATGGAGCCGGGAGGAAGCGGCTGTCCCTGTGAGCACGGGGACACGCGGAGGGATAGGATGCGCTGTGGGCGCGGGGACCGCATTTCCGGCCCGTCCGGAGCAGGCCCCTGGCACCTTCCGGGCCGCCCCGCGCCCGGGTGCCCGCCCGGCCGCCGCCGTCGCCGCAGGCCCCCAGGGGCGGCGCGCACCGGGCGCTGCCGGGCTGCTCGGCGGCCCCTCCCCTCCTTCCCGGCGGGCCGAGGAGCCGCCGGAGCCGCGGCCTCCGCGTTCCCAGGCCGCGCAGACGTTAACTCATTCCTGCCTGCGGCGAAGGAGGCGGCCGGGCCGGCGCGCGCTGGAGCCGGCCTGCCTCCGCCTCCCTCTCCCGAGGAGGCCGGGCCGCCGAGTGGGGCCCCGGGGCGGCTGGCAGGCGGCGGCGAAGCGGGAGTGTGGGCTGGAGCCCCTGCCTCCCTCCCCTGCCCCCGGGCTCCCGGGCTCGGGCGTCGGAGAGGGCCTCGAGCGGGCCGATGGCGGCGTCCGCAGCCCGGACCCGACCGCCGGCGCCCGGGAGCCCGAGGCCTGGGACGGGGCGCGCGGCCGCGACGGCCACGGCCGCCTGTGGGCCGGGCGGCGGTCGCGGGAGCCAGGCCCGGCCTGGAGTGAGTCAGAAATCACCTTGCTTAATTACACATTCCCGAGGCCGCCGAGTGCGATAGGGGCCTTTTGAACTTGCCAATTAGAGATGAAATATCACCTTCTAATTTGGACGGGCTTAATTCCGTCACGCAGAAATAGCAACAGCCCCGGGGCTCCGAGGCGGGATATCAGGTCTCTCTCCTGGCTTGTGGGGTGGCGCGGCAGGCCAGGCTGGAGGACGCAGAGGGAACCGTGAGGCTGCTGCTGCTTGACCCCTCGCCCCACCCCGCCGGGAGTGGGGGGCCGCGAAGCGGGAGGGGAGTCGCCGGGAAGGTCTCTTCTCCTTGCAGCCCCCGGCAAGGAAGCCCGCAGACCCGGGCCTCAGGCTCCGGCCTGCCTCTGCCAGACGTTCGTGTTGTGGGAGTTTAGAAGAGGAGGGTGAGCCAGGGAGTCTGGGAGGCCTTGCGGTGGAGGGGAGCGACTGCCAGGCAGAGAGCACAGTTGGTATTGCTGGAGGGAGGCAGGAAAGGTGGGCAGAGGCTTCTTTGGAAGAGGCCTGCTAAAACCTGTTTGTTTGGCCCCCTGGGGAGGATCTAAGCAGAGATCTGGAGTTGAGTCGGCCCAGGTCCAGCCAGGCTGGATGACTTTGAGGTAGCCCCTCCCCAAGTCTCAATTCCTCAGCTGTAAAGTGGACTTGCAAATACCATCCCCCCCCCCGCCGGATCGCAGCGAGTATTACTTGAAATGATGCCCATAGAGGGCCGGGCATGTGCAAGTGTCATTCTGGTGTGGGCAGCACCATTCAATAGAAAAAAAATTTCTAGTAGTCGCATTTTAAAAAGTGAAAGAAAACAAGTGAAATTCAATTTAATGTATTTTATTGACCCAGTACATTCAAAATATCACTTCAATATATAATTAGTATAAAAGAATTATTAATGAGTCTTCAAAATCGAGCGTGTGCTTTGCACTGAACAGTGCTGCTCCATTCAGACTAGCTGCCTTGCAAAGTGTTCAGCAGTCACATAGAACTATGTATTGGACAGCACAGGATAGGGCTTTTGTTCTTAATGTTTTTTAGCAGAGGACTGTGCTTTACAAAAAAAGGAAAAAATCTTGCAGAGAACTCCATTGTACATAACAGAGGGATGAAGCTGCTCTGAAGTTCTGCTTGGTCACCTCTCCCCATGCCTCCTCCCTCATAGCATTCCTCAAATCACTTCTGCCCCCAGCGTTTTGAGACCCTCTGCTCTAGGAACCAGGGAGCCGTTCCCAAGGTGGTTAGGGAGGGTGACAACACCTTGAACTTGGGCTTTACAGATTTATAAAATGTCCTCGCTATGTCAATCCCTGCCTGCCACAGCTGTGAGGCAGGCAGAGCTGTCGTACATTCCACCACTGAGTAGACTCACTCCCAGGCTATCTAACTTTGGGCTGTCCCATCTCCCTTCCCCCCTCCCTCATCCCACAGTCTACCTGGACTGGGCTTCCCCAGGTGACTAGCAGGCGGTGAGATGAGCTGACAGGACATCTGACCCTGAGATCCAGGTGCCACCTTCCTTGCTATCCTCACTCACATTTAGTGACACACTTTGCCAGGTACTTAGCTAAGCTCTTTATATTTCGTATCTTCTCTTAATCCTCATAATAACCTTGTGAAGTACTAAGAATTATTATTGCCATTTTTAGATGTAGTAGCTGAGGCCCAGAGAAGTTAAGGAACTTGCCTAAGGTAACACAGCCAGGCTGTAGCAGATTTGGAACCTGGAGCCAGGGCTCTTGATGGCTGAGCTACATGCCAGAGCATGGGGTCTCCACAATGTTGAAAATGACTCCTTAATGACATGGTGCATTGAGATTTCCTGGAAATTGGACTCATATTCTTTAGAGAGGCAGTTTGGGGTGATAGAAAGTGGTTTTGAAGACACATTCTGCCACTTACTGGCTCTGTCTGAACCTCAGTGACCTCAAGTGCAAAGGGAGATAATGTAGGACTGACTCACTCAGATGATTTGTTATGTGCCTAGTCTACCCCTATGGAAGTGGAAGATTCCTTATGGAGATTGTACCTATGGAAGCTATCCCTTAATCCTTCAATAACACAGGGTGGGGACCCATCCCCAGCATAAGGGTTTCCATGCCATCTAGCGTTGAAGTCACCTGGGAGTAGAAGGTGCAAAATGGGAACCACAGGTCACCTAAGGTGATCCAGGGGAAAGAGATACCAGAGGCAGGACCAGGGTCTTGAGCCCCAAGGAAGACCCTCCTCTCTAGGCTAGAGCCCTGGAGCGCTGCCTCAGTGTAGTCCATCCTGCCCAGGCTGAGCTCAAGAACGAGGAGGGAGGCTGCCCTGACATGCTTCCTGGGGTGGGGTGAATGAGGCCTCTTTCCAGAGGGGCAGACTGTGAAGTGAGGCAAGGCTTCTGGAACCTCCTTCACTGAGAAGGAGGCCAGCTGGACCTTGTGTGCAAGGCACAGCTGGGTCTCCCTGGCTGGGCTTTGAGGGCCTAGGCGTGATGGTGCGGTGGGTAAGCAGCTGCAACGCTCTTTCTGTGTCGTGAGCCCAAGAAGGTGTTCTGCTTTCAGGGAGCTGGAGGAGCGGGTAGCAGAAGTGGGGCAGCATGTTCCCCTCCCTATACTCCAACTTCTTTGGTAACCTCTAGACAGTCGCTCAAACACACTCTTAGCTTCCACCAAAGTAATGTGGAAGAACAGGGGTCCCCCAGGGGCAGCCACGGGCCAAGTGTGCAGCTGCACTGGGCTGTGTCCCCAGCATCTCTGCCCAGGGTCACTCTGATGACTCCTTTAAGATTCCCCCACCCTAATCAAACCAAGATGACATTTCCCCCCAATACAAATCAAGCCAAGCTGTTTTTCAAGAAAGCAATCATAGCCAAACCTGAAACCTGAACTTGAAAACCCAGCTGCCAGGTCATCTGCTTTGTGCCGAAGGCTGAACTAGGTCCAGGTTCAGCAAACGCATGCCAATTGAGGCATTTCCGTACAACTGAAAGCATCCTCCAAGCTGAGCTGACCCACTCCCACCCTCTTCCCTGGACTAGGCACCCACCCCCACTCCCAGTCTGATGCAGGCCTCCTGCAGCCAAGGCCTGGCCGGGCCCCACCCTGCACAGCTGTAGATATTTATAGCTATATTCCTTTTCCAGCCCTGTCCAGCTCCCAGAGCCCTGCTGCACTTGCTCTTTCTCTCCTTGGGCTCCCTGCTGAGAATTCAAATCTGGGGCATCAAGAAGTTCAGGAACACGTCTCCTATAAAAATTGCAATTGTACTACTCTCATATTAAAGTCACCTTTTGCAGATCTTTGGCTGGGGGTGGGAGAATTTGGGAGCATGAATTCCTGACACCTTTTTCTTTCGGTATTTTTGTCTTGCAGTGCCTACAGCTACCTACAGCCCATCCCCAGGGGCCAATTACAGTCCAACTCCCTATACCCCCTCACCTGCCCCTGCCTACACTCCTTCGCCTGCCCCCACCTACTCTCCATCCCCAGCACCAGCCTATACTCCCTCACCTGCCCCCAACTATAACCCTGCACCGTCCACAACCTACAGCGGGGGACCTGCAGAGTCTGCCAGCCGTCCCCCCTGGGTGGCAGATGACAGCTTCTCCCAGAAATTTGCCCCTGGCAAGAGCACCACCTCCATCAGCAAGCAGACCATGCCCCGGGGGAGCCCAGCCCAGGCGCCTCCCCTTGCCAGGGGCACTGTCCAGAGGGCTGAGCGATTCCCAGCCAGCAGCCGGACTCCGCTCTGTGGCCACTGCAACAGCGTCATCCGGTATGATCCCACTGTGCCCCATGCTGGGGCGCCAAAGGGGTGGGCATGCATGGTGCTTCCCCACAGTCTGAGCCCTGCAACGTGGGATGGGGCGGCGGCTGGCTGTAGGGAGAAAGTCGTGTGCATGGCAGCCTCAGGCCCCTCTGGCTTGCCATCTGGTCTGACCCTCTCTGAGCTTTAGCTGCCATAACTGTGTGACACCCACTTCCCTAGGGAGTTGAGAGGATTGTATGAGGTCAGTGGAGGAAGCTCCCAGCAGGGTGTCTAGTGCCAGGATCTCCCCCTTGGGCTAAGGCTGGGTTCTGGGAATTACCAGTCTTGTTGTCAGTAGGTTTATTGGGCGTGTTGCAAGCTGGCTGGCTGTTGGTTTGACCCAGCTTTCCTTTAGGGTTGCTTCTGGGTCTTTCCATAAACAGGCCTGTTGCTGCACAAGGCTTTGGTAGGCATCTGCCATACTCAAATGAAAATCTGTCATTTAACACCTAAAAGGCAGGGATCATGGGTGGTGGTGTTTGAATACAGTGTGTGTGTGTGTGTGTGTGTGTGTGTGTGTGTGTGGTGTGAGCTTATATATATGAAAAGCACACTTTTATTTATAAATAAAGTAATTCATATTCAGAAAAATTAGAAAATATAGAAAAGTAAAAATTAGAATATAAACAGTCACCTCAAAGCCCCAGTGTTCTGACCACTACCTAGAACTAGACTATCCAGGTTCATATCATGGTTCTACCACTTACCAGCCCTGTGGCCTTGAATAAGTTGCTCAGACTCTTGGGGCCTCATTTTCCTTATCTGAAAATGCGTATCATAATAGTACCTACTTCATAGGATTGTTGTGAGACTTGATCAAGTTAACAAATGCACAAGTCTTCCTGAATAGTGCCTGCAGAGTAATGACTCTGCAGCTTCACCACTGTTCTTCTTACTATGATTATCAGTAGTCGGCTGAATTCTGTGCCTACCCAGATCCCTACTGCTGCACTACTGAGTTGTTTCCCAGTTTCTTTTGCTATAGATGACGGAACAATGAACACCTTTCTGCATGGAGCTTTTTCTGAATTTCACATTATTTCACATTATTTCACATTATTTCATTAGGACAGTCAACAAAAGTCACAGTTATTGGGTAAAAGTGTGAACATTCTTGGGTTTCTTGAACTATCTGGTTCCAAGATTTGGGGGCTGCCTCATTAGGTGCTGTTCTCTGCTTCCCCAGGGGCCCTTTTCTGGTAGCCATGGGCCGCTCCTGGCACCCTGAAGAGTTCAACTGTGCCTACTGCAAGACCTCCCTGGCAGACATGTGCTTTGTGGAGGAGCAGAACAACGTCTACTGTGAGCGGTGTTACGAGCAGTTCTTCGCCCCCATCTGTGCCAAGTGCAACACCAAAATCATGGGGGTAAGTGGGCAGCATCCCTTTGCTCTGACCTTGTCTTTTTCCTTAGCCCTGACAAACCTCTCATTCCCTCTAAGATTGTGGGGCCCCATTAGGAAGCCAAGAAGTAGCTGGTAAAAGAGAGAAAGGAACTCCATTTTTATCCTAGAAGGGAGTCAGTTTGCCGCCAATGAATTAGGAAGCAAATGACCTTGAAGCAAGACATGATTATATGCCTGTGCTGCACAGCCTGAAGTGGTGGTGGAACTTCTGCAAAGCAAATTATTGCTTCACAGCCTGACCTCACTGCTCACCTGCATGTGGCCTTGGCCCTCCATGTGGCCTTGGCCCTCCATGCCTCTTGGTAAAATGGCAGTAGTAAGCAACACCTCCCTCCCAGGCTTAGTGGGAGGATTAAACATCACAGCTTATATAAGAACACATAGAACCTGGCACCCACCTGGATAGAGGGAGCCCACGCTCGGGTTTTTCTTCAGCATGTCCAAGGCTTGCTTCCTGGGCTGTCCTGCACTGTTCCCTGATGGGCTCTCAGGCAGTGGCCAGGGCCTTGGGGGACTTCAAGCCTGGCTCCCTCTCTCCTTTGGACCTTTCTGTCCTGAGCTCAAGCTCTTTCCCTTAGGAAGTGATGCATGCCCTGAGACAGACGTGGCATACCACCTGCTTTGTCTGTGCAGCCTGCAAGAAGCCTTTCGGGAACAGCCTCTTCCACATGGAAGACGGGGAGCCCTACTGTGAGAAAGGTAGGATCACTGCGAAGACACGCAGGAAGCCCCCCGTCTGGGAGAAAGTGATAGGCACAGGAAACTAACTCTTGTCTGTGTCTATTAACATCTGACCATCAGGAGGCCTTTATTTCTGGGAGAAGAATTTGTTTTTATTTTTGTTTTTCATGGCAGAATGCTAATATTACACAAAGGAAGTTAATCGAGCTATCTCCTCTGCCTGTTTGGTTGCAGTTTTCCTGGGGTGGGGGTGGGCAGAGACTGTAGCTAATTCTACACATGCAGTCTCTTCTCGCTTCCCTGCATCAACTATGTGGATTACAAGTTGGCATCTTATAACCACTTGAGAAACTTTCAGGTCATTTTGACTTGGAGACCACAAGGTCTAGTTTGAAAAGGCCAAGGCTCTGTGCTTCATCCTACGTTCTGTTCCTGGCTCCACTTCAGGCTGGCTTTGTGGCTCTGAGTGAATTACTAAACTTCTCTGAGCCTCACTTTTCTCATCTGTAAACACCTGCCTTCTGGAGTTATGAGGAATAAACCAGAGAGGGCATGGAAAGCATTGGATATGCAAGAGTCCCCTTCCCTGCTCTTGTGACATTTATGAGACCTTGTTGTTCCTTTAGAGCCCTGTAATCTCATTCTCTGAATTCAGAGTTTCTCTATACCCCAAGAATGCTATATGCTGTCTTAAAACATGGAGTAAATCATTATAAGTTCAGGAGGCAAACCAATTTGTTAGACAGTTGGGAATTCTGGCTAACTGAGCACTCACTCACTCACTTGTTTATTCATAGCCTGCCCCTTTCAGAAAGGATTTGAGGTAGGTTCCAACAAGGGTAACATAGACATGAAGGCTAAGACTAAACAACCAGAAAATCAGAAGAGGGAAACGCAAGCATGCTGATTGTGAAGACTAACAGGGCTGCAGGCACTGACTGGGTAGCAAATGTGAGGCCAAAAACAGAAACACAGTAAGTTAGTTTACTTTAAATCAGAAAGGAGAAGACATTCAATTCCTCAAGGTCAAAAGCAAAATGAAATAAAACTTCTTTCCCTCAACAATAAATTATAAAAGAAACTCCTTGGGTTCTTATGGTGGGGAATTCTCTTTCCAGCTCCGAAGTTAATTGCACAACTTTAAACAAGTCACCTACTTACTCTGTGCCTCAGTTTCCTTATCCGTAAAGGGAGAAGATAACACCAGTCTTTTCCCTTCTCATGAGCATATGATATTGATTGGTAATTAATGAAAGTGCTATTATTCTTTGACTCAAAGCATTATAATTTCCATAATTCGTGATAAGCCAAAATTTGTGTCAGAGGTTTATGAAAGAAAAATAGAGTTCCACTATCAGCTGCTCCTCTTCAGAGTAAGTCCCCCCAAATGATTCTTTTTTTTTTTTTTTTGAGACAGAGTCACCTTTGTTTCCCAGGCTAGAGTGAGTGCCGTGGCGTCAGCCTAGCTCACAGCAACCTCAAACTCCTGGGCTCAAGCAATCCTTCTGCCTCAGCCTCCCGAGTAGCTGGGACTACAGGCATGCGCCACCATGCCCAGCTAATTTTTTCTATATATATTATTTGGCCAATTAATTTCTTTCCATTTTATAGTAGAGACGGAGTCTCACTCTTGCTCAGGCTGGTTTTGAACTCCTGACCTCAAGCAATCCGCCCGCCTTGGCCTCCCAGAGTGCTAGGATTACAGGTGTGAGTCACCGCGCCCAGTCCCCCCAAATGATTCTTAAAAATGATGTTTTGAGGAAGAAGACCCAGGAAGAGGATAGTCTAGTGCAGGGGTCCTCAAACTTTATAAACAGGGGGCCAGTTCACTGTCCCTCAGACCGTTGGAGGGCGGGACTATAGTTTAAAAAAACTATGGACAAATTCCTATGCACACTGCACATATCTTATTTTGAAGTAAAGAAACAAACGGGCAAAAACACCTGCATGTGGCCCGCGGGCCGTAGTTTGAGGACGCCTGGTCTAGGGTTAAGAGAAGACAGTGAGAAAGCAGATTTACTTTCAGACCAAGGTACCTGGAGAGACCCAGGTTGAATCCCACGTGGGCCACTATGTGACGAGGGTTAAGGCTCTTTCCTCTTCCCAGTCTCTGTTTCCTCATCTAAACCGCCTCGTTCAGAGGCTGTTGTGAGGATTAAGGCAGATGATGGGTGCAAAGCTCTCAGCAAAGCACCTGCCCATGGCAAGTGGGCGATATGAGTGGCCCCTGAAATGGCTCCAGGAGACTCACAGCTTTCCATGAAGCACAATTTACAATCCACTTCCTTAGACAATGGGAATCATTGAAATGTTTAAGGCACGGAATTAACACGATTTAATTTTTATTTTAGAAGGAGTACTAGAAGTTTAGTATGTTTGTTGAATGCCAATAAAGAATGATATTTTTATGGACAAGGTAAAGAAAGGAGAGCTAGATGATCCAACAGTCAGGTGAAGTCAAACCTGGCTCGTTAACCTGCCCTAGAATTGGTAAAATATACTAGAGTTGGCCAGGAGGGAGGTTCCCAGTGTCATACCGTGGGACATTGTGGTTGGTTCTGACCTTGTCATCATTTTTTTTATTGTGGTAAAAAACACATAACACAAAATCTGCCATCTCATCCATTTTTAAGTATACAGTTCAGTATTGTTAATATATTCACGTTGTTGTAAAACAAAGCTCCAGAACATTTTCATCTTGCAAATCTGAAACTCTGTGCCTATGAAACAACCCCCCCCCTTTCCCTTTACCCAGCTCCGGGTAAAATAGGCAAAAATAGAATAACTACCATTCTATTTTCTGTTTCTGTGAATTTGACTACTATAGAAACCTCATCAAATATAAGCGGAATCCTACAGTAATTGTGTTTTTGTGACTGGCTTATTTCACTTAGTATAATGTCCCCAAGGTTCATCCATGATGTGTGTCAGAATTTCCTATCTTTTTATGGCTGAATAATATTTCATTGTGTGAATAGACCACATTTTGTTTATCCATTCATTCAACGGACACTTGGGTTGCTTCTGCCTCTTAGACATTGTGAATAATACTGCTATGAAGATGGATATGCAGATATCTCTTCAAGACCTGCTTTTGGTCCTTTTGGGTATATATCCAGAAGTGGGATCGCTGGATAAATGGCAATGTTATTATTATTTTTTTTATTTTTGTTTTTTAAAGTAGCCTCCATGATGTTTTCTATGGTGGCTGCACCAACAGGACACAAGGGTTCTAAGTTCTCTACATCTTCACGAACACTTGTGATTTTCTGTTTTTGTTTTTACATAGTAGCCATCCTAATGGGTATGAGGTGATATCTCATTTTGATGTCTTGTCTTCATTTTTATTAACAACTTGGAAGAAGATATGGAAGGGAGTCCTGTGGAATCTGCAGCATGAGCCAGAATGATAGCATCTGGGCTGAAAAACACTTCAGTCGGCCGCACAGTGAGCTGACACTTTTATCTAAACTCTGCATACAAGTAAGAGACGTAGGAGGGCGAGCTCCTCTCAGGTGGGCCTGCACCCGCGCAGTCTCAGGGCTGGCAGGGCATCACAATCTCCTGAGAGCTTTAAAAACTGGAGAGAAGATAAATTTCCAGACCTACCTCAGACCTGCAGAAGCAGAATTTCACAGGTCACCCCATCCTACCCGAGCGATTCTGATACTCAGTTAGGTTTGGGAATCAGAAGTGTTTCTCCCAGCACCAACAGCATCAACCTCACCTGAGAACTTGTTAGAAATCACAGATCTTCAGGCTCCATCTCAGATCTGGTGAATCAGAAACTCTGGGAGTGGAGCTCAGCAAACTGTGTTTTTAAAAACCCTCTATGTGATGCTAGCATTTGAGAATCGTTACTCTAGAAAAGCACTAAGCCCTTTTTCAACACAGAGCATCTGTGATTTGATGGGTGGCAATTCTTTTACAATAGCAATAAAATCCATTAAATACTTGGGTATTAATTCAACTTGGGACAAAAGAGTCAAAGAAAATTAGAAAGACTTAAAGGGAGAAATAAAGGAAGGAATATATAAATAATTAAATAAGCAGCTAGATTATGTTCCTTGTAGGAAAGGCCCATGCACAGACTTAATTATATACCAGTGGTGTTCTCCTTTTGTAGAATAAATGAGGAAAAATACCAACTTTTTTATTGTATTAATATTAGGGTCAGACCCATGCTACCAAAAAAAAAATTTTTTTTTTTGAGACAAAGTCTTGTTCTGTCACCTCGGGTGGAGTGCAGTGTCATCATCATAGCTCACTACAACCTCAAACTCCTGGGCTCAATCAATCCTCCTGCCTTAGCCTCCTGAGTAGCTGGGACTCAGGTGGGTGCCGCCAAAGCCAGCTAAGTTTTCTGTGTTTAGTAAAGATGGGATCTGGCTCTTGCTCAGGCTGGTCTCCAAATCCTGAGCTCAGGCAATCCTCCTGCCTTGGCCTCCCAGAGTGCTAGGACTACAGGTGTGAGCCACCATGCCTGGTGGTGCTACCACATTTTAAAACAAAGTGGCAATTCTCCAGATCAAGTTTAAAACAGAAAAATGAATCAGTAGGAAAGACTAGACATTTCAGAAATAGATTCAAGCCATTGTAAGAGTTCAATATGTGAAAAAACAATGAGAGAAGAAATCACTGTTTAATGAGGTTCTTTGAACCATGTCTTTATCCGTTCATCATTGTTCCATCAAGCGTGTGTGAAGCATGTACTCTGTGTCAGTCCCCAGGCAAGGAGCTGAGAACAGGCGTGAGCACAACAGGCTCTCTGCCTTCAAAAACCTTAAGCAAACACAGCATTGTGTGATATGCCAGCATATACATGGACATTCAAGAGATGATGGATGGATGGAGGAGGGAAGTACAGCGGAAGCCTTCAGGAAGGTCATTTCATCTCTGTTGGTTGGGGAAGGGGATGAAGACTTCCTAGCAAGAAGGCATGGCCCAAGAAGGCAGAGATTCTGGAAGAGAAAGTGGGGAGGGTTTTCAAAGGCCAGGATGTAGTTTATGCAGAGGCAAAAGGGTGGAAGAGAGAGCCCAGGGCAGCTGGAGACTGACTGAGAGTGACAAGAGAGGAGTCAAAAGTGGGGTGCAGGGCTCATCCTCAGGTGGATATGGGTCAGCCAATACCCCACACCAGTAAGTTCCTACAGAGCACAGAGTGAACCATAAATCTGCTATAACTTTATAAAGGAAGCAGGACAATGTTTTCTTTAGCTCTGGAGAAGCTATACATTTCTGCCTACTGAAGAAATTGATTGCTGGACTGGAATATATAAGAGTATTTACATGACAAACTATAATTAAGCAGGAAAGAGGAAGCCATATGTTGGGAAAAACATGCAAGTGCTAGGTATAACTATCAATGAGCAATGGCAGGTAGATAAGGAGCTGGAGACAGCATAAAGTCAAGTCGTGAAAGGAGGGTGACCTTTGGAGTCCATCAAGCCTTGTGCTGCTCCTTATCACTTGTGTGATGGGACCACTCCAGGCAGTTTGCTTATCTTTAAGACAGGAATATTATCTCTTCCATCAGCTGGCGCGAGGATTAAGCAAGAATCATAATAGCCACTCAAATCATGGTTCTCTTCCCTTCTTTCATCATTTATGAAGACTTTCAAAATAACAATGAACATTTTTCAGTATTTGTGCCAAGTACTTCACTTACATTATCTTATTTAATCCATTCAATAACCCCTTGAGTTTGGTACTAAAAATCCAGTATATAGATGAGAAAGTTGAGGCCCTGTGAAGGTAAGCAATTTGTCTCAGGTTTGAACAATTCCTTAATAGAGCTAGGATTTAACCCAGCTCGCTCTTTCTTCAGAGTCCAAGTGTGTAACCCCATGGCACACTGCCTCTGAGCACATGGTCTAAGATGACGAACACACACCATCCACAAGGAGATGAAAGGAAAATCACTGTAAGAAAAATCCAATTGTGGCAGAGCTTTTGAAAGAAAAGTATATTTCTGGGAGGATGAGGCTTCATAAAGGGGATCAAGGTTTTCTAGAGCAATTTAGAGAAGTTCCACAGCGAGTGTGGTTCTACAGAAGTGCAGCCCCTTTGGGCCAAAGAGGACAGCTGCCATGGTGAGGGAGCACAGGACACAACCCACTGTGTCTCAGCCAGGGGGTCTGCTAGGCCCTTTACCTCTTAGGTCTCAATTTCCTCATCTATAAAACAAAACAAAACAAAACAAAACAAAATAATACTTCAATCTCTGAGGGGTTTTATGAGGATTAGGTTCATTGATTCATTGATTCATTCATTCATTTCCTACATATGTATCAGGTATTGGCTGTGTGCCAGGCATTGTGCTGGAAGTACAAAGAAAATGTACTTGACATCCTTGACATTGAGATACTTGTAAAAAATACCATTTATGTGAAAATGCTTGGTAAACTGCAAAGCATTATTATACAAATAATATTTAGTAATAGTCTCTTCTTGGTTGGGGGTGGAGGAAGAAGAGGAGGACATGCTCCAATAAAGTAGTTCAAATACTGTTTATAATAGTGAAAACTTGTCAACACAAATGCCCAATGACAGAAAAATGGCCAAGCAAAGAACATTCTATAACTCTTAAAATTTTGGATCATCATTCTTCCAAAATAAGCATAGCTGTTTGGAAATGTGGGTTTTTATCTGTTTGGGGATTGATCTGTTTGGGATATCAGAAGTGACAGAAGCAAAGGAGATGATCACCTTGCAGAAAGTTGATGACAATTCCAGAAAGTGTTTGCAAATCCAACCAGCACAAGGTGGTGATTAAGCCTGAGTCAGCACATCAGTACAAATTATTGAAAAAGGAAAAAAAAAAAACCTGTGTATTTTGTCTGTGCCATGATAAACAGTCAGAGTTAGGTTTCACCCACTGCCCACTGATTCGGGGGTATCCTGGCCCTCGGTCAATGTGGCCAGGACGCTCCTCACTGCCCTCATGGGTGCCTGTCCTCTGTTTTTCATTTCAGACTACGTCAATCTGTTCAGCACCAAGTGTCACGGCTGCGATTTCCCTGTGGAGGCTGGTGACAAGTTTATTGAAGCCCTGGGGCATACTTGGCATGACACCTGCTTCATCTGCGCAGTATGTTTTTAGCATGGGATTCTGACTTTCTGAGCATAGGTGGGAGGGAATGGAGGGGGTACAGATGACCAACCCTCTATATCCATTGCAACTCTAGCATTCTGATATCCTGATCGCTTTTAAAAGCTGGAAAATCCCATGATGCCTTGATATGTCATGGTTGAACAAAGTTTTATTACTAATAATTATTTATAAGCCAGCGTGGCTTTGTGACTTTCCATTTTGTTAAGGACAACAGAGTGTCCCAGGATTTGGCCAACTAGCAGTTGGTCTCAGCAGCAATGCTCTCAGGAGGCAAAGCAGCAAATAGTGCTTGGATTAAAAGAGGAGCGGTTGGCTTCCTTTGCTTACTCATTGCTTCAGATATGATGAAGTGATTTGAGGGGTTTCCCCCAAAATTTCACCTTCAGCACTAGATTAGAACTTGTTGACTAATCCTATGAATACTTACAATAAGGTTTTTCTTTATAGAACCTTTAAAAAGCAGGACTGAGTATTTTATTTTCTTAAGTGGTCTTGTTCTTGATATATAGCTTCCAGGAGATAAGTCCTAGATTAACTATTAACTATGTGCAATTTGTTTCTGCTGACCGGCGGGTCATTTTTAGTATAAGACTGGCATTTTCCTTCTGAGGGCTTTGGGTTGGGGTGGGGACATAATGGCGAGACATTTAGACTCTGAGTTAGAGGTAAGAATCAGTCATCCCTGATAAAGCCCTGTAATGTCAATCTGTAATTGACTAAACTTTCTTTGGGAAAATCAATGTCCTACTACTATTTTTTTAAAATCAGAGTTGCTCAAGGTAAATTTCAGAAATGTATGAAATATCTGCACAGTTTAAAATTGAATCCTTTTTTATAGACTTATGATAGGACAAACCCTATTCATAAAGTTTACTGCCATATGTTTTTGTTTCTACACTTCACTTCTATGCCCCACCATTTATGGGATGCACTGTATTCACTCTGTGTATTAGTTCGCTAGGGCTGCCATACAAAGAGCACTGCAAACTGGTGGCTTAAACAACAGAAATTTATGCTCTCGTAATTCCAGAGGCCAGAAGTCCAAAATCACGGTGCCAACAGGGGACATGCTGTCTCTCCTAGCTGCTGGTGGTTGCCAGTAATCCTTAGCACTTCTTGGCTTGCAGCTACGCAGCTCCAGTTTCTTCCTCCATTGTCACAAGGCTGCTTTCCCTCTGTGTGTCTGTGCCTTCGCGTGGTGTTCCCCTCTTCTATAAGGACATTGGTCATGTTGGATTTAAAGCCCACTTTAGTATGATGTCATCTTAATTTACATCTTGATTGCATCTGCAAAGACCCTATTTCCATATAAAGTCACTGCTGTGTCCCTGGGCTGGGTAGGCTACAAGTGCTGGGGGTTAGGACTTTAATATATGAATTTGGGGGGATACAATTCAACCCCTCAATACTCAGATCTTTGAACAGATTCTCTAGTGCTTTTAGGGTCCTTTAAATACATCAAGGCCCCCCCTTCAAAAGGGACAACGGTGTAAATATACTGACTTCGGGGTTCCCTTAAAAGCCATGGCTCAGCAAGGTACAACATAGGGCTCTTTAACCCTTACATTCAAGCCATGGCTTGTCTGGGCCTGAGACACTGCCTGCAAGTCTGGTTACCCAACTTCTAGAAGGATCGAAGAGACTTGGAGAAGGTCCAGGAAGACAGTGGCACAGAAGGCCTGTTCCCCAGGGCAGGCTGACGAGGTCGGAGCCGCGTGCAGAGGGGGCTGTGGCAAAGGCGAGCGTGGGTCTGCTCCCGCGCCTGCCATGTTTGGCTGAAAGCCACGAGATGCAAAGCCTAGAGAGAGATCAGAGCAAGCGATAAAGCTTAGAGTGGTTCAGGCTGGTATTACAAATAAGTTCCAGAGAACTAAGTCCAGTCTGGTGTGACAGACCCATGGCACTGCCCAGAGAACCCACCCAAAGAAACTGGGCAGATCCTGCCCTTTGGAGGGTCAGCATGGAGGTCGTGAGGTCTTCCCCCAGCCCAGCCAGTGCCCACCTGCTGCCCCACTGAGATACAAGAAAGTGGAGCATAGTTCTAATCCTTGGGAAGAAATCTTTTAATTGGAAAATTCTGAGGGTTTTTTTTTTATATATATTCTCTTTCTATCACTTTACATTTCCAAATCACTTTCTTCTTTTTTTTTTGTTTGAGACAGAATCTCACTCTCTTGCCCAGGCTAGAGTGCTATGGCATCAGCCTAGCTCATAGCAACCTCAAACTCCTGGGCTCAAGCAATCCTTCTGCCTCAGCCTCCCGAGTAGCTGGGACAACAGGCATGCGCCACCATGGCCAGCTAATTTTTTCTATATATATTTTTAGTTGGCCAATTAACTTTTTTCTATTTTTAGTAGAGATGGGGTCTCACTCTTGCTCAGGCTGGTTTCAAACTCCTGACCTTGAGTGATCCACTTGCCTTGGCCTCCCAGAGTGCTAGGATTACAGGCCAAATCACTTTTAATGAGAATGTGTTTTCCTGTAACTTAAGAAAACCTCACAAAACCTAGATGAAAGGAAGATCTGCACTAACTCTCCCAGCTGATGTGCTGTTTTCCCGCCAATTAGATTTCATGGTAGCACATTCTTCAGACTGATTCAGTTTACCAAATATTCCTAGAGTTTGGGAAGTGCGAGAGTATCCCAGAATAAGCCTCTAACTGCAGTGAATCTAGAATCTTGAAAACAAAGCTAACAGATACGATCAATTAAAGGGCAGAAGAAGATAGTATCTCTCACGCCCAAAGCCATAAATGAAGGCTGGTAGGCTGAGAAGTGCAGGGTGGGTCAGGGTGAGGGTTGGGCTCCTGCCTGGCTTTGGCACTTGAGTTCCAACAGAAGGGATTTGGGTCCTACATTAGTAAGGGGAAAATGTCTTACCGATTCCCTCTTTTCTTCTAAGTCTGTTTGGTTTCTCACCCTTCCTACTAGCGTGGCATCAGGAGGGGATGGGCAGTGATAAACTTTTGCAGGCAGTCCCAGGGGCTACTGCAGGTGGCCCCGTTTATTGCCTTAATTCTGCTGGGACTGCAGTTAGCACTGTCCCTGGGCCCCACTCCTCCACAGCCAGGCCCTGATGCCACCTGGCTGTGGGGGTTGAGCCATACCTGCTGTCCCCTATGCTATGTGAGCTGGAGGCCTCCTCCACCATGAAACCACCCTGCACCAAGAAGACACTGAGCATGACTCCCTCTGAGCATTCCTGCTCCCAGCCCCATCTCACCCATGAGCCACATCTGAGGTTCTGTCCCTTCCTCATTCCTTGATCTTCAGTCCCCTCTCTACCCAGCATGACTCACCTTGAAGCTCTCACAAGCAGCCAGCACTGTCCCGGACCAGGCGGGGTCTCCAGCCAGCACTGCAGGTGTTGACAGGCAGCTCCTTGCCAACTCCCTCCAGAGCTGCCTATCTCCCCCGAAACCCATTCTCACCAGTGACATCTTGGGTGTCTACCTTTTTGGATAAGTCTCCAAGTTGTCACCAGCAGCTTGAGGCTTCCCCAAGAGCCTACTTAGACTCAGCAAAATCACTGCATCCACCTGGGATGTTTTCAAAATACTTTTAAAGCTCATTGGTTGGCAGGACCCATTGGTAGCCCTGTGTGACCCCAAATATAACCTCCCTAACTGGGCCATCAGGGCCTTGCACATGGGGTTGTTGTGATGCCCTTTCCTTTCCAGCTCTCTTGTCATGGACACATGCTCCCTGACCCAAGCTCAGCTCAGGAGGGTGATTTCTATATTCCCATGGCCACCTGTATGTGGTGACGCCACTGAACTTCTCCTTCTGATGTAGGTATCCTGGATGTGGTTCCCAGTCCTGCTCCCCAATAGGGATCTTCAAGGTCCTCTCTGAGGTTGGGGCCCATGCCAGCCAATATGACTTCCTGGCTGACTCTGACATACGGACATTGCCAACCCAGGACCCCCCCTACATATTAGTAGTCCAACAAAGTCAGAGGGCTGCCTCTGTACAGATCCGAAAGCCCAGAACAGTTTCAAGTACACACGACACCTCTTTGCTGCAGGAGGTGGGGAAAATTAGCATAGAACTGGAGTCTGACAGACCTGGACATGGATGCCCAGCTCTGCAACTTACTAGGTCTATGACTTAAGCAAGACATCTGGGCTCTCTGACCCCAGTTTTTTTTTTGTTTTTTTTTTTTTTTTTTTTTTTTTTTTTTGTGGACGAGGTTCTGGGGCCCCAAGAGCGGGGCCCCGGAAGTCGCCCTGACCCCAGTTTTTTTCAATGGTGAAACAGGAGAAAGGCACACCATAAGGGTTTCGTGAGAATTAAGTGAGCTCGTGTATATAGAGTATCTAGCAGCCTGATTGACCCATGGTAGCCTCAAAAAGTCAGTTCCTACCCTTCTGGGATGTCTCCAGCTTCAAACTATACTCATATGTCGTTATCATGGGGATGTATAATTTTATCTCCTTTTTCTCCCTAAATACACTTTGCCATATTTGATTTAGCTTTTTCATGGTGGCATTCCATTGGAAAAATGCACCATAAAAATTGAATCATCTCCCTACTGAGAGCAATTTTAGTAGTTTTCAGTTTCTCGTAGAGCACATGTTGCTTTACCACTCTGCGGAGTTGTTTCTGCAGGATGAAATTCTCCAGGGTGGCATTACTGGGTTACAGGGGAGGCACAGCTTTATGGCTGTCGTTCAGCGTTGCCACATCCCCTGCAAACACTGGGCTGATTCAGTGTCCTCAGCGCTGCACAAGGAGGCCTCATTCCCTTGTGGCATTGCTGATTTTCGATTGGATACTTGTTTTTCGTTTTTCAGCTTGAGTCATGTAAAGTTAAAGGTGACAAGCCATTGAGTTTTATTGTTTTATTTATTTTGCAAGATGAATAGGTATCTAGTGGTATCTCAGAGCAGTTTTGATTTATTGTTTTTTAAGCATTAGTGAGGATAATCTTTTCTGACATGTTTGTTAGTTTAGCAATGATATTTCTTTAGATGTTAATCCTCCCTGTGGGTATCGACTTGTGAACTTCTGTTGGTGCTGTATACATTTTGGATAGCAAGAGTTGGTCATATTCATGGTGTATATTTTCTCTACTCTATTAAATTTAATTTGAGTTTTATTTTGTGTCTTCTTTGGAAGTCTTAATTTGTATATAGTCCAACCCATCCAGTCTGCTTCTGTTGTGGGGAGTACAGTCTATTGGCTTTTCTCTGGGCTGCATGTGACAGGGATTTTTTTCTTTTCTTTTTTTTTTTTTAGACAGAGTCTCACTCTGTTGCCCAGGCTAGAGTGCTGTGGTATCAGCCTAGCTCACAGCAACCTCAAACTCCTTGGCTCAGGTGATCCTACTGCCTCAGCCTCCTGAGTAGCTGGGACTACAGGCTGTGCCACATGCCTGGCTAATTTTTTCTATGTATTTTTAGTTGTGCAGCTAATTTCTTTCCATTTTTTAGTATAGACAGGGTCTCGCTCTTGCTCAGGCTGGTCTTGAACTCCTGAGCTCAAACAATCTGCCTGCCTCGGCCTCCCAGAGTGGCTAGGATTACAGGTATGAGCCACCGCGCCCAGCCAACAGGGCTTTTTCTTAAAGGGGTGACTGAAGGCTGGGCACAGTGGCTCCCACTTGTAATTCCAGCACTTTGGGAGGCTAAGGCAGGAGGATCATGTGAGGTCAGGAGTTCTAAGTTGCAGTGAGCTGTGATCTCACCACTGCACTCCAGCCTGGGTGACAGCTTGTCTCAAAAAATAAATAAATAAATAAATAAATAAAAACAATAGAATCAGAGTTAAAGGGGTGATTGAAATTTTTTGCTGTGTCCCCCTGCCACGTGGGCTGCAGGATCCCATCTCACACAATTCTGTTCTCTGTCCCAGGTCTGCCATGTGAATCTGGAGGGGCAGCCATTCTACTCCAAGAAGGACAGACCCTTGTGCAAGAAGCATGCACATGCCATCAACGTGTAGGGGTGGAGGCGTCTGGTGCTGACGGGCAGAGCTGCTCTTGCTGCTGGCAACAAAGGATTCAAGGAGGCTGATGTTTCTTTTGGGGGGAAGGGGGGAAGAGAGGAAGTGATTGAGCCCTTTTGAAGTATAATTTTAGTTTTTTCTTTGGTGCACAGATTGTGTATTTGCATAGTTCCAACTAGAAGCCAAATGAAGATTCAAACCAAGCTAGTAATTAATCCAAGACTGGAATTGTACTTCAAACGTTTAGAACAGAATTCCAAGAACTCAAAAGTGAAAAACAAAAAGCAACTTTCCCAAAGTGATACACTTCCCTGTGGTCATGGTCACCACAGTAGGGACAGAGCTCAGAACAGTTATGGAGAATCCAAAGCATTCTGCAGAGTTCTTTAGAGCTCCCCTGGCAAACAAAGTGAAGTGCCAAACAGTCCTTGCTGCAGGGTATTTTTAGAGCCATAGCTGAGAGCTTGTTAGCCAAGACCTATCGGCCTTTCCTCACCAAAAAAGGAAGTGTTATTCCATGACTAGCGTCATGGAGCTACCTCTGTGCATCAGACTTCGGACCTTGAACGAACTTGAAATGTTCTAAAGGGAGCCCCCATGTCCAGAGAGATGTCTTCTGGGAGCCACTGGGCAGTTGCCAGGGCTCCAGGAAGGGCTCTGGCTCACTCTGCAGACAGCTGAGAAAGATGGGCCCTTCAGCCACCCTCTTTCAGTTTGAAAAGCCATTGTTCCCAGAAGGCTTAGCTCCTTTTTGATTTGTGATGGGAAAGTGGAATTGGGTTTTTCCAGTTTTGCTTTGCAGTGTGTGAGAGGAGATTTTAAAGACTCTGGGTTGTGTTTGGTCCTTGTTTTACTTTAAGACATTTGTTAGCATGAGTGTCCGGTCCCGTGCATGTATTTCACCCCTAACCTGTGACTGCTCACTCATGACATCTTCCTCAGTACCCTCTATCTCAAATAGGCTCGGTGGCCTATGGAAAAGAGAAAGAGAGAGAGAGAGATAGTGTCTAAAACAGGATGGCAGAATAGGTGTGGAGTAGAGGAACCTTACTTTCTGCCAACATCAGTAAGAATGCATGCGGGGGAGGACCTCCCACTTTCAGGTCTGCACCAACTGTCCTTGTCATATATTCCTTTCAATGCAGCACACTGATTACGTATAATTGTGCTGACTGCTAGAAGGAAAAGATGGACTGATATATATGCATTTGCCATTTTGGCCAATATTTTGATAAGGTATGAGCAGAGTTGATCTAGCAATTATTTATTTATTGCAGTAGACTTGGGCCTTCAAACTTCTTTGCAATATTAGTGATAGTTTGAGTTAGGTAAGCATTTTAAAGCTGTTTGGTGATAACGAGAAGCTTAATTTCTGAGGTTGGAAATGGGATAGTCACTTACCTTTTTAGGAAACACTGTTATTATGCTCATTGAAAACGGCATTGAAGCAGGCAGTTTGCGTGGATGTTTCTCACTTGAGCACGATATTTAGGCACTCTCCCAACTCACTGCTACTCTGTCCTCCAGAAATCTTTTTGATTTTTCTTTTTGCATGTTTGAAAGGTTTTATGGGAATGCATTAGAACTCTTTTTCTTCTAAGAACTGAGGATTCCAGGGGACTGCCATCCTACCAGTATCTCTTCCCCTGCAGGAGAAGGAAACAGCTAGCTGTGTCCCTTGCAGGAAGCCTGAACTTTTTCCAAGCATGAAGCCACCAACTTCCCCCAGGGAACATCAGGGAGGGACATAAATGTGCTCCTATCACAGGGCCTTTCTTACCTTTGGTGCCCTGAGAAAGTGAGACAAAGTACCAGGCAGAGTAAAATCTGCTGGGACTGACTGGAGACTTGTCAGGAGTTGCAAACAAGTACCTTGTAGCATTCTGTTATTTTTGGAAAGTTCAAATATGCAGGGACAAGGTGGTTGCTGACTTTACAGAACGCCTCTGAGTAGGTTTTCTCCAAAAACAATCTATTAAATTATCTGGGACTGGTCTCGAGGAAAGAAAAAAAGTTCCCCAGAGTTCAGTTTCCAAAATCTCATTTTAAAGGTTTTACACACACACACACACACACACACACACACACACACACACACACACACGTGATCCTTAAAAAGTGTATGATCATTAAGAAGAAAAGTGAAATATCTCAAAAGGACAGCTTCACCATAGTTCTTTATTGAATTAGTTTTTCCACATCTCAGAGCTAGTGTAGATTCTGAGGTACTCTTTTATTTACCCAAGAAACAGATCAAAAAAAAATTTTAAAGGTAGCAGGAAAAGGAGGTAGTTCTGAGTGTGGTTTATTCAGTGTCTGTAAATCTGATACAGTGTCAGAATTAAGATTATATCTAGTTCAGATTAACATTGTGGAAGTCCTTCAACACCAAACCAAATGCAATTTTTAATAGTCCATGGTGAGGTGTACACTTTGGAGGAACCATTCTTGTCTCCTCACTGTTGACATTAATTAAACATTTATAAACATAACTTTTTGCAATGTAGTGACTTATATCTGCAGTGTTTGTGTTAGGAATCTAGCTTTTATAATGTTAACTTTTCAACCCAGATACTCTTGCTTTGGGATTTTTTTTTTCTTTTTTTTGGTTAAGATTTCAGAAGTGGAATATAGCATCTTAGACGTATGTACAAAAAAATATTTTGCATGGTTTTTTTGGCCTGTGTGAATTCCTCTTTTTAGCAAAATAAAACTCCAAAAAGGATATTCAAATACAGATTTTTCTGTGTAAAGTTTTTTCATGTGATATCAAAAGTAGTTTACTTCTATATGACTGACCACAAGTAGAAGTCTGAGACACAACAAAACATCTTGTGGAGAATAAACACAGCTCACTTGCTGTGTTGCTCAACAGCAGTTTAATCAGCTTGTTTAAACAGACAAGGATATGTGAATAATACAAATGTTTTGCATGCAAAGGGAGTTTACCAGGTAAGTAATAAACTGAAGACCATACCTTGCCTTGTATTTTCAAAAAGATTTGTTTATTTACCTACTTGGTGGTCAACTATTTCTGATTTTTTTTTTTTTTTTTTTGAGGCAGAGTCTTGCTGTCACCCAGGCTAGAGTATGGTGGCATCATCATAGCTCACTGCAACCTGAAACTCCTGGGCTTAAGTGATCCTCCTGCCTCCGCCTCCTGAGTAGCTGGGACTACAGGTGCATGCCACCAGCCTGGCTGAATTTTTCTATTTTTTTTGAGGTGGGGTGTCTCGCTCTTGCTCAGGCTGGTGTAAATTCCTGAACTCAAGTGATTCTCCGGTCTTGGCCTACGATATAGGCATGAGCCAGTGGACCCGGCCTAATTTTATTCTGACATAAGTGGCTTTATTTCTAGAAAAGTTGCTATGTTTCCTTTCATATCATTTGTTTTCAAATAAGTTCAGTGTAAAACCTTATCATGGCATTTTTTTTTTTTTAATAATGAAGGCCCTCTGAGGGTAGTATACTTAACAAAACCATTCTTTTTCAAGGTAGTATGTTTCTAGGCGTTACTTAAAAGTAAAGGGAAATTTTTCATCATATATTTGATTTTAAGCACCCGGATCAAATTTTGAAAGAGCTGTGCAATTACAAATGGAAATAAAATCTCATTGTTTTAGTACTTTTTAAAGCTATAGCAATTTTGAAAATAGATGATGGAGAAAAGGGCTTATAAAATCGTAAAATTTAAAGTCGGAAGGAATCTAACAGATTATCTAGGCATTTTCCAGATGCAGGAGCTGGGGCCAGAAAGGGGAAGTGGCTTCCTCAGTGCACATAGCCAGCCAGGGAGGCAGCCAGGTGCCACTGGAATAAGCCTGGACTTTGGCACGGAAAGACCAGGGTTTAGATGGAGGCTGATTTAGACCATCTGAGTGATATTGGGAGAGTCTCTCTAAGCCTGTTTACCTACCTGAAAATGAAGATTATACTACCTGCCTCACAGGGATATTTTGAGAACCAAATGCAATAACTTTTAGAAGAAAATGGCAATACAAATGCTAGTTGTTACTGTCACCAGTAAAGTGGGGTCAGAACCCAAGTTCCTCATTCCTGTTTCATTTTCTTTTCTTTTTTTTTTAAGTTTCTTTTACATTTTATTTTATATGCAAAGAGCTAGCATAGTCTCTTTCACTTAGTGGGTGCCATGGAAAATCCATTCAAGAAAGATCATTTAGTCCAACTTAAGGAAACCGATGCCCTTCACATACTGACAGAAACACTGGCGGCACATATTGAGGCTGTATTTCTGGATCAGACTGTGTGGGTTTGAGCAGAGGCGACAAGAGCGAGAACCCTGCCGGATTTTCGCGGGTAGTTCCAACAGAGCTGCTGTTGACCCATTTTACTCAGGAGGGCAACAAGGCAAAAAAAACCTGCTTCATTTTCTTAACTCCTCCACCTTGCCTATCTGGAAAAAAATCTATTGGGAAAATCAGCAGCAAGAATACATAATAGCCCAGAAATATGAACCACACGAATCAGAATTTGGTACAATTAACTTGTACTAAAATTCCTACCCTCTTCACTAAGTACTTGTGGGCAGAATAAATATTGTCTGTTCATGTGCTCATCCATACATTCTTTCAGCAGATATTTACTGAGCAGGATATTGACAACATGACAGTGCATACAGCAGGCAATAACATCTGCTGTCACGCAACTTACCGTCTAGTGGGTTGGAATTAGCTGAACAAAACAATAACTAAAATATGTCAGATTACTTCTATGGAGAAATATTTTGACTATTTAAAGCTACTAAAAAAAATAAAATAAAAATAAAGCTGCTCTACTCGGCTGGGTGCAGTGGCTCACACCTGTAATCCTAGCACTCTGGGCGTTTGAGGCGGGAGGATCACTTGCGCTCAGGAGTTCAAGACCAGCCTGAGCAAGAGCGAGACCCCATCTCTACTAGAAATAGAAAAGTTAGCCGGGTGTGGTGGTGGGTGCCTGTAGTCCCAGCTACTGAGGGGGCTGAGGAAGGAGAATTGCTTGAGCCCAAGGAGTGTGAGGTTGCTGTGAGCTATGGTGACACCATGGCATTCTAGCCAGGGCAAGGGAGGAAGACTCTGTCTCAAAAAAAAAAAAGCTACCCTACAGGGTTACACTGGCATCAAGCTGAACTTAGACTCATGAATGACAGGCATGGCATAAAGAATGGGTTCTGGATTGAATACGTTTGAGAAATAGCTGCATATGCCGGTCACCCTAGAGATCCCCAATACACAGAAGTGAGCTGTGCGGGTACTCGGTCCCTCGATAAAGAAACCTGTTTAACTTATGTGAGCACAGAGTACAGAGCTCCAATTGGGAAACGCCGCCTAACAAATTGGTTTAGGTTTTCCTGAGCTCTGGCTTTCCCGGGGCAATCGCAATGTCAAATCATCCTTCTCAAGGTTCCATTCACATACTTAAACCGTTTGGACAACTAGGGATGTGTGGTTTTTCATGCCACAAATATTCCTTGAGTGGCTAGGCTCTGCTGTAGGTGTGGAGGAGGATGCCACGGACAAGGTGCCTGCTTTTGCAGAGCTGACGCTTTGAAGGGACAGGCAAGAAACAAGTAATACATAATCCCCGGAATCTGAGATGATGAGGGCTATGGGAAATGAAACAGAGTGCCGTGGTGGTGGGTCTGGGTCAGGCTGCTTTTGATTGGGTGGTCAGGGAACCCTTCTGTCTTTCTGAGGAGGTGACATTTGATAAGAAAAACACTATGCCCAAGTGTGAGGCAGTGTTCCAGATGGAGGGAAAAATAAATGTAACGGCTTTAAGGGAACATCTTGGCTCAGTGAAGGCACAGGGCAGGAGAGCAGAGGGGAGGAGACGAAGGGAGGTGGCGGAGAGCACCCGGGCCTTGGCGGCCGTGCTAAGATGCCACTGAAGGCTTTCAAATGCCTGCCACTTGTAAAGAAAGGAAATAAATCGTTGACTACAAGTGGAGATAAAGAACCTGGCTTTGGATAGAAGAATAAATTTTTTTTCCTGTAAGACTTTTCACTGGAAAAAATGTTCAAAGCTGCCTATCAAACAGTTTTGTATGAATATGGCAAAACAGTCAAGGTTATATGCAGTTGTCCTCAGTCTGGGAAACACCAGTTCTGTGTGGATATGGCACAGTTTTGTTCCCTGATGCACACCTACACAGGTTGCACACTGTGTTTTATTTCATTATAATTTTACATGCTGTTGAAAAGCAATTTACTTTGTAACTGTGAACTTCACTGTCTGATCCTAGTTAAACCCCTATAAAAGACATGCGAAGGGTTCTCTGAGAATCTCTGAGAATGATTGTATTAGTCCTTTATGTGCTGCCATAAAAGAATACCTGAGGCTGGGTAATTTATAAAGAAAAGAGCTTTTATTTTATTTTATTTTTGAGACAGAGTCTCACTTTGTTGCCCAGGCTAGAATGAGTGCTGTGGTGTCAGCCTAGCTCACAACAACTTCAAACCCCTGGGCTCAAGCAATCCTCCTGCCTCAGCCTCCAGAGTAGTAGCTGGGACTACAGGCATGCGCCACCATGCCCGGCTAATTTTTTCTATATATATTTTAAGTTGGTCAATTAATTCCTTTCTATTTTTAGTAGAGATGGGGTCTCTCTCAGGCAGGTTTCAAACTCCTGACCTTGAGCAATCCTCCTGCCTCGGCCTCCCAGAGTGCTAGGATTACAGGCGTGAGCCACCGCGCCCGCCCAGCCGAAAAGAGGTTTTATTTGGTTCACGGTCCCGCAGGCTGCACAAGAGCAAGGTGCCAGCCTCTGCTTCAGGGGCTTCCAGGGGCTTCAGAGTGAGGGCTTCAGGGGCTTCCACTCATGGCAGAGGTGAGGGGAGCGGGAGTGCCACGGTGAGAGAGGG